CAGCCTCATTTTGTCTTTCAGCGCATTCCCACCCTTTCACTTCTATAGAAAAAGTATATGAATTTCTGCACAACTTTCTTTTTCTTGGCGTTACACTTAATTCCTTCCATTTTCTTCAACTAATAAATGATGTACTAGGGTGGCCAAAAACTCGTTTAAGCCAATTTAATGGAATCCTTCTAAAGCCCATCATTCACTTTCACAAGCCTGGACTTAATGATGGCATTTGTGAGTTGTAAATGAAGGCCAATTTAGACTGTCTAGTATATACAGAATTTCTAACATAAATGATAAAACAAATGTAGAATGCAGGTTGATCAACCAAACCAACTTGGCCACATAAAGTTGGTTAACATTATCAAACCAAGAAATTTGCACGATACAACAACAACAACAACAACAACAACAACAACAACAACAACAACAACAACAACAACAACAACAACAACAACAACAACAACAACAACAACAACAACAACAACAACAGAGCATTGATCCCACTACGTGGGGTCGGCTACATGAATCCTTTATCTCCATTGCATCCTATTTGATGTCATATTTTCATTTAGTTCTAATAAATTAAGATCATTTTTTTTTATATAATAAGCCCAAGTCTTCCTAGGTCTACCTCTACTTTTCTTAACATAAGTCGAATCTAAAACATCTACTCTCATAATCGGATCACCAGATGGTCGACACTTAATGTGACCAAACCATCTATGACAACTCTCTCTAATTTTGTCCGTCACTGGAGCTACACCAACCCTATCACGGATATATTCATTTCGTATTTTGTTTCTAAGTGTAAAGCCATTAATCCACCTAATCATTCTCATCTCGGCAACACTTTAACTTAGTATTATGCTTCTCTTTTAAAGGCCAACATTCAGCGCAATAGAGTATTGCATGTCTCACCACCATCTAATAAATTTTTCCTTTCAGTCTAAGCGGTACTTACCATCTAATAAATTTTTGCTTTCAGTCTAAGCGGTACTTTTCTAACACACAAAAGGCCTGAAGCATTCCTCCACTTCAATTTGAACAACAGTCCCGAGATATCTAAATCGTTCATACATTTTTTTTAATAATTTGATCACCCAAAATTATACTTCTGTCACTAGAGCTACTACTACTAAAATTACATTCCATGTATTCAGTTTTAGTTCTACTCAAATGAAGGCCTTTAAATTCCAAGATAGACCTCCATTATTCAAGTTTTTCCAAGGCTTTTTCTGTCATCTTATCCATGAGGAGGATATCATCAGCAAAAAACATACACCAAGGTACATCCTCCTGTAAATGTCTAGTAAGACCATCCATATATAAAGCAAAAAGATACGGGATTAAAACTGATCCCTGATGTAATCCAACAAAAATAGTAAAATGTTTGGTAAATCTTCCTTCAGTTCGAACACAAGTAACAGCTCTAGTACACATATCTTTAATGACTTGAATATAGGTCATATCAATACCTTTCTTCTCAAGAACTCTCCAAAGGAAATCTCTTGGAACCTTATCGTAAGCTTTTTTTTCTAAATCAATAAAAATCAAATGTAGATCCTCTCTTAACTTCTCCATCAAACCTCTCAATAAAAGTATAACTTCCATAGTAAACCTGTCTGGCATAAATCCAAATTGATTACGAGAAATCTTTGTAATACGTCTTAACCTATGTTCAATTACCCTCTCCCATAATTTTAAAATATGACACATCAACTTAATTCCTCTATAATTTGCACACTCGTGCAACCCCTTTATTCTTAAAAATGGGGACCAAAATACTCTTCCTCTACTCCTAAGGCATCTTTTTAGTTTTTAAAATAATATTAAAGAGTTTAGTAAGCCAAAAAACTCCCAAATATCCTAAATATTTCCACACTTCAATTGGGATATCATCAGGTCCTATAGACTCTCCACCCTTAGTTTTCTTTGAAGCCTCCTCAACTTTTTTTTTACTAATGCGACGGTTAAAATGAAATATTTTATTATTATTAACGATATTAAGATCACTAAAGTCGTTCATAATTTCAGAAATTTTATTAAAAAGTTTATCAAAATAAATCACTCACCTATGTTGAATATCTTTTTCTATAAAAATCACTTTTTTATTTTCATCTTTAATACGTTTTACTTGAGTTAAATCTTTACTTTTCTTTTCTCTTTGTTTGGCTAGTTTATACATATATTTTTCCTCCTTAGTATCTAATATATTATAAAGATCACTAAAAGCAAAATTTTTAGAGAGTTCGAGACAATGTTGCTAGATTTGAAACTCGTTTGAGTTTATAATAGCTTAATCAAAATCAGGATAACTATAAAATGATTAAATATTGCTAGTACTAAATTAAAAGATTTCTCATCTTATTAGAGGTCGTGCATTTAATATCTTCCATCAACTTTATTTTCATTTTAATTTGAGAAGTTTACTAGTTTTACTGGCAAGAGGCCAACAACAGTGTGATAACTAGACTTACGGGCTGGCAATGGCTCATTAGAATCAGTTGTTTAAGATCGTAGGCCTTAACAAGCTCAAGACCTACATGAGCAACCCATTGGACAAGCAACCTCCAGCCCAAATCAAAATAATAATAATAATAATTTTCAGACTTCCTTACACCAAAAAAAAAGCTCAAAAATAAACCAAAAATTATTATCATTGAAATTTAACCAATCAGAAAGACAATTTGAATCTTATGGCTTAAAAAAGTAAAACAATTTTTTCAGTTTAACTTTCCAAGTTTTAAGTGCCAACCAACAAGGACCCAAAGTTTTGGAAGCACCGCACGATGCAGGGCTTAAATCTAGGGTATATTTCAAAATTTACACGAACTTAGAAATTTCTGCTTTAATTTGATCTCTAGGGTATATTTCAAAATTTACATGATAGAAATTTCTGCTTTAATTTGATCAAAATCAGATTAAATTATCTTTTTGGAAAATATATTGTTTAAAAACTGCATAAGTAAATTAGTTCAAAATTTACATGATAGAAATTTCTGCTATAATTTGATCAAAATCAGATTAAATTATCTTTTTCGAAAATATATTGTTTAAAAACTGCATAAGTAAATTAAGAAATTGATTTGCAGATAGTCACGGCTTGTGATTGACAAAACAATGCATGAATTACGTTAAATCTCTCTCCCTCCCTCTCTCTCCCAGGCATTGTTCAAAATCAGGCAATAAGAGGCATCGCAAGGTCCACCTCAATATAATTTTAAAAAAAATTCCATAAGACTTGCCCTCAGCTTAACCTACTGAGAAGTACAGCTCACCTGTATACAATTTATAAAAGGCAGAAACCTCAAAAACTAAACTTTTGTTTATGTTAAATTTAAAATAATAAATTTAATATTTAAAATAAATCATATTTTATTATTTTTCTACACCAAAGCCTTAAAACAAATAGAACAATAAATCAAAATTGCAATCATCTCCTTAACTCCCAACCGCACACTGCCGCCACTCACACTTGTAACCACAATCGAGGATGCAGTGGAAGAAACAACTTAATATAATAATGATTGCAATGAAACTCACTAGATACGAATGGGAGAGAATTTTGTAGTTAGAAATTATAATCTCAATAACTTAGACTGCTTATATTGTTGAATAAAGAGTGGAAATTACTTCGAATATGATCTTTTGATGTTATGTTACCTATTAACTGATTTATTTTTATTAATTCAATGCTTTAAAAGTTAAGCATATGACTCAAAATGACTCAAGACTTGTGCCTCATCTCAATGACAAAAAGTTCTCAATACTCAATTGTGCAATTTAAAACTCTGTTCTCATGTCGTACTTTCATAATACCTAGCCCTCCATGTTTTTCTTGCCTGCATCATTTGGTATAAGACTTCCTCAATCATGACTTGCAATGTGACACTCAATCATGCCCCTAGTTGATCGCGACAAGTTTTCAATAGTGTTGTACCCCTTCAGCATAAGCATGATCTTATACTACACTCCATCGCTTCTCCACATAATGCCTCGTCTATGCATCACATTCCATGCGCCTATAAGTTACTCTCTTCAATATTCATACATGCTCATCTACAACCTGCTACTTCTGCGCATCATCCAATTTGTGTTAACTCTGTGATACCTCCACTGATGCATCCCATCAAATCACAATCGTTTTCTTGCACGTTCACTTTAGCAGATCCTTTGTGAAACGGACGCCCATCCGTCCATTAATGAACTCTAGACCCTATACAATGCAAAGCCACTGCAAAAGCCTCCACTTCAACATCATCAACGACAACAAAAACAACAACAAAGCCTTAATCCCACTACGTGAGGTCGGCTACATTAATCATTTTTTCTCCATTGAGTCTTATTTAGTGTCATATTTTCATTTGGTTCTAATAAACTAAGATCATTTTTTTAAATAATAAGCCCAAGTCTTCCTAGGTCTATCTCTGTCTTTCTTAACATAAGTCGAATCTAAAATATCTACTCTCCTTATCGGATCATCAAATGGTCGACGCTTAATGTGACCAAACCATCTAAGACGACTTTCTCTAATTTTGTCCGTCACAAGAGCTACACCAACCCTATCACGGATATATTCATTTCGCATTTTGTCTCTAAGTGTAAAGCCACTCATCCACCTAATCATTCTCATCTCGGCAACACTTAACTTAGTATAATGCTTCTCTTTTAGAGGTCAACATTCAGCGTCATAAAGCATTGCAGGTCCCACCACCGTCTTATAAAATTTTACATCATAAAGCATTGCAGGTCTCACCTCCATAAAATTTTCCTTTCAGTCTACGCAGTACTTTTCTATCACACAAAAGGCCCAAAGCATTCCTCCACTTCAACCAACCAACTTGAATTTTACTATTAACATCTCCATCTATATCACCATCGCTTTGAACTCATCTGAACAACAGACCCGAGACATCTAAATCTTTCACATCTTTTAATAATTTGATCACCCAAAGTTACATTTCTGTCACTATAGCTACTACTACTAAAATTACATTCAATGTATTCAATTTTAGTTCTACTCAAATGAAGGCCTTTAGACTCCAATGTAGACCTCCATGTAGACCTCCATAATTCAAGTTTTTCCTGGATTTTTTCTCTCGTTTTATCCACGAGAAGGATATCATAAGCAAAAAGCATACACCAAGGTACATCTCCTATAAATGTCTGGTAAGACCATCCATTACTAAAGCAAAAAGATATGGGCTTAAAGCTGATTCCTGATGTAATCCAACAGAAATAGGAAAATATTTGGTCAATCCTCCTTCAATTCGAACACGAAGGTACATCCTCCACTTTAACATCGAACCACTATATTACTAATTGCTTGCATAGTCAATTCCTTATCTCGCATGAAGTGGTCAACATCAAATACATGAGATTAATATATCAAGTTCTTAAAAAATCGTTTCAAACTTTTTGAATTTCATACGTTTCATAATTCAAAACTTCAAATAAACTCAAGAATTTGGAATGTTCAAGATGTATAGTTTATATATAAACAATATATGATAAACACACAAGTTTATGGAGTTCCAAAGCTGTCAATATTCATTATGAAATTGAAGTTATTGTTTTGTTGACATATTTCATTAAAGGTCATCAAAATCTCCATAACACAAGTGAAGATTATTTGGATATAAATTAGATTTGGCTGAAGAATATTGGACAAAATATTATCTAAAGGTTTTAGATGATAAAGTTGAGAACGCAATCAATTATGTCTACAAATAAATGGTTGTGCAAATTATTATTGTAGTCTCTTCAAGCTTCTAATTATGAACATATTCCAACCCATCGAAAACTTTTTAATGTTGTTGTAAAGAGAAGTGATGGAGCATATATTTATTAAAGAAAAACTTAATGAATAGATTCCTGCAGTGGGCATTGCGTTTGATTATTTCTATAGATATTACATGGGTCATGCAAATGGACGTCCTAGCTCACTTAATGCTTGAAATTCTACAATATATTCCAACCCACCTAATCCTTATACTAAAAATTAGGAAGAATATGGCAAATCCTATACTCATCAAAGGAAAAACTTGATGACTCATTTTATATCGCTATCCAACCTCTTCAATTCCTAATGCACAAATGCTAACAATTTAATTAATCGTCCCCCTTGAGCATTTGAGTTTAAGCATGATGATGTGGTTGAAGTTGAGCAAAGATTTAAACTTAATTATTATATTCTAAATGTTAAGCTTAACCTGAAGCTGAAGCTAGAGCTTAACAAAAGACGTTAGAGGTTATTATAATACTTGTATAACTTTCAATGCTGAAGCTGAAGCTAGAGCTTAACAAAAGACGTTGTTAGAGGTTATTATAATACTTGTATAACTTTCAATCACTACTATTACTTCCCAAACCTTGCAGATGAAGATAAAACGTGAATCCCGACTTTCAATATTACTCCCAAACCCTTTATCAATTGTATATCCACAAATTTTATACTCAGTGCCCAAATTTTGTAGTTTGTGCTGCGATTGCTGCCACCAGTACTATCATTTTGGGATCCTCTAAGACTATTTCGAGGCAGACGTCTAATGCATTCAAACAACCTGATCCAAAGCCTCCAAATTTTGTTTGTATTCACTTTGTACATGTTGCATATTCACAAGTTATTTCATGAAGTAATTCCTCCATCTACACCTCCAACATGACCAACAAACTTTCAAGAAAAAAAGCTTTTAGATAAATATCAAGTAACTCTTCAAGGCCCAACAGATAGAAACAAAACAAGAATTAGGTTTAACATTTTCTACAAAGATTTCAATTAAGAATAATTTCGTCTTCATTTTAATTCAAATAGTTTTTTTTTTTTTTCCTTATTAGAGAGTTAGCTGAGCAAGCCGAACCGATAAAAGTTCATACATTATGTCAGTAATATGTCTTGATATCCATACAATGTTCATTATTTAAGAAATGAGCATGGCATACATGGTCAACAGACCTTAATTGAGATTAAGTTTTAATTATTCTTTCCAATAATATTTGATTTGAAATTTGAATCAAGTCTAGATGTGATTATATTTAAAGTTAAATTGATTTGATATTATCTTATAAATTTTATTCGTCAAAAAGGGATTGTTTATAATAAAAGCTATTGATGAATAAAATATAATGGAATCTTCCTCTCTTGTCCTACAACTCCCCTCTATCTCAAAACTCTCTATCCTAACACAACGTTAAGCAAAAAAAATAAATAAATATATCACTTGTGAATAAGTTGGTTGTGCAAGCGCAAATTTAATATCTGTACTATTTTTAATATTAAAGGAGGTTTTGTTCCATATTAATGGGTTGATAAAAGAAATGATAGCAACAGACAAATTAGTTAAATTAACAGCATTAATGATATATTGAAAAATTAAAAATTAATAAGTATGAGGCAGGCGACATGAACAGCCTACCACAAGTATATATGGTCATAAACAACAAAAACCAAAAATAATTATACCAGGCTTAAGGTCCCGGTGAAAATAGCCTTGCTGGTGCATATATGCAAGAGCTTGGAACACTTGAAAGCACCAATTTCGGATTTTTGACTCTGAAAATGGCTCATCTCTATCTTTAATAAACTGATAAAGATTGCAATCCTGAAGAAATAATAAAAAAAAAGTCAATAAAATTAACATTTTACAAAATAAAAACTAGCTCAATTACAAAAGCAGCATACCATATATTCAAAAATGAAGTACAGCACATCGTCCTCTCTAATGACCTCCTTAAGCTTCACAATATTAGGGTGGTTCATTTTCCTAAGTGCCTGCAAAACAGAGATTTCACTCTAAATGTAAGATCCAACTAATGAATGGATTCATTCAACAAATATTACCTTAACTTCCCGAAGATTCATGCACTCCTCCCAACAGTAATACTTTCTCTTCATTTTCTTAATGGCAACCTGTGATGCAAGGTATACATGGAATGATGCAAAGAAACAAAGTATTAGGCTTCCGTTATAGATGGTAAATTGAACCACTCTCAAACTAAATTCGAATCACATACAATTTCACCACTCTCTTTATTAACAGCTCTCCAGACATTACCAAATGTTCCATATCCAACTTCCTTAATAACCAAATAGCTGCATTTAAAAACCAACATCATGGGATTGCATAAAGACTAATTTGAAAAACTCAAGTCGATTAAAAAAAAATAGCATAAAAACAAAATGCCTTACCGTTCCATTCTTCTCAGTTGAAGAAATAATAAAACCCCAAACTCTTATTTAGAAATCACAAGCACCTCAGTGCGGACAGAGTCCAACTGAAAAGATCTGACTATAGTAGCCCACTTCCAGATGCAACAACTTAACAGCTGCTCCAACACCTTCTAAATATAAATTCCAATCCTAGAACCCACTTTAAGAAATGAAAAATTGAGATACCGCGCAGACTAAATAGGACATATCACAAAGCCACAAGAAACAGCCCAAATCCAGCAAGCAAGTTTGGCAAGCTGCACAAATTCCCATGCTTGTGAAAATTGAGCATACTTGCTTGAAGTAATTTTGCATTTATAAACAAGGATAAATGATGAAGAGGGAATCTTTGTGGCCGTTAACCTGGAACAGAGGATTAAAAAACCTTCAATCACAAATAAAAATATAAATACTTACCAACTCCAATCACTTAAATATCTATTACCTGAACCACACCAAACAGAGCCATACTTCTGGATAAAAGCTCCCAAAGCTTCAGAAAAAACAACTGGAATTGAGCTGATACAAGATAAGAGGCCGACCATGTCAACAGAAAAAGAAACACACCTAAGGGGGATTACTTGTAGCAGAATGCTTTATAGTACTCAGGACCGAACAACTTCAGGATAGATAGTATCGTCGTGATGCCCGTTGTGGTCATGGAACAAGAAATAACCCCTAAGTACAATTAACAAATGAGAGGAGAAGGAAGTTTCCGAGAACGAGAAGACGCCAGTCAGGAACTTTCTGTACGAAAAAGGTTCCACACTGACAGTAGCTTGACCCAAGTTGCATTTGCCCCATTTCCTGCTGCAGATAGTCAAGCACACAGAACAAACAGGCACAGCCTAAAAAAAAAATGAAAAAGCCATTAGAATTATACTATTAAAAAACTTGTGTCAAGCATGTAAAAATGGTGAAAGATAAATACACGTGGAGAATGTATCAGAGAAAAGTGGGGCTGCTTCACAAAACAAAGAAAGGGAAATGATGCTTCAACACAAAATAACATTTTACAGTTGCAAAATTGTGATGCCCGCTTGACAACCAAAATCACAACAAAACATAACCAAATGAGAAAAAACACAGATGATGACCCAAGAAATAAGATTTATGACCTTAACCATTGATAAGCATAATAAAAGATTATATTGGTGACTAGAAGCTTCTAATGATAAACCCTCATATGCAAAAGATGCAAAATATTTATACGCTTGAAACAAGAGAATAAAGCAATGAATAAATTAAAAGATGCCCCAACTCCACAATAACAGATAGGAGGTAACTCAAAAGTGGATAACAAATAGTAACAAAAATAAAATAAAATAAAGCTGAAAATAGAGTAAAAAGTGGTGAACATTAAATGTATATGAGGATACTAATGTTAGCATCCAGATTTAGGGGCCTTAGGTTTTTGTAGAATATTATGCATAGTATTTGCATGTAAAGTAAATACTGCGCTTGGTTTGCAGAAACATTTTGGTGGAACTAAATAACAACACAGTTCATTTTCCACTAGAAAAAGAGAAAATAAAGCAAATGCAGCGGATTTAGAAGCAATTCTTTAAAGGGATTTACTTGCATTGTTCTAGAGGTAAACAAACGATCTCTTAGTAACTCTTAGGTGGTGAAAGATAAATTCAACAAAATAAATGCACTTGAAGTGTTGCTATGGTCTAATACAAATAGTAGACTTTCAAAAAAAAAAAAAAACTAGCTTCCAGATCCAGTTAGCTTAATCAAGACCAGAATAAATTTAAACTGAGAGCTGACATAAAGTGATAAAGACAAAAACCCAAAAATTGTAATAAATACAAACTTTCTTATAATGAGATACGTGATAAAAATCCAAAACGTTTACAATATCATTAGCCTAAAACTAAGACGTTTAGCAATAGGCATTACGCATATGAAAATGAACTTATAGTGACTATATAAAGGAAGGACCATTTGTTATTAAGGTCATAAAGAACATAAAAAGAAAAACAAGTGGTGTTCATCAAAACTATGCATTTTAAAAGTATACAACAAACTTGACGTCCATAAATGTGAGGAATTTATTCAGGAAAATATTTCAATAGCTTAAATCAAACGTTGTTAGTCCAAAACCTACAAAAATGATTCCAGTTCCAAGCAAGAATAAAAAAAAGTTTTAGGGTGAGTATTATGTCAGAAATATATCATATACCATATTCCAAACTCAAAAAATTGAACCTAAAAGTCAGATAAAAGATTTAACGTAAGAAAACCGGAAAACTAGAAAAAAAAATAATGGAGTCACATCGCATTAAGAATTTACTATGAAATGAGATGTGTGTAGATTACACCACACTCAAATCCTCTCTAAAATTTTGGAACTCACGAATGCTCCTCCACTACTGATCAAATAAGAGAAATTCACAGAAATCCACTCACAACTCGCAGACACTGCTTCACGCTATTTGCTTGCCCTTCCAACAGTGAAGAACCAAAAAATTTAAGTTTGGAATCGCAGGAATCAATTATAGGAGCTGATGTGTCATTTCCGAGCGCTTGGGTTCAGGGTGTGATCTAGGCACTGGCTTTCTACGAGCTCGGGCTCTAGGGCCATTCTTCTGGGCGTTGGAATGCCTATCCCGAGCACCAAGTTTCTGGACTATTTCCGGAATGCTGGAAATGATTCTCTAGGCTCGAGGCTTCTGCTTGCTGGTGTCGGGTTTCTATTTAAGGAATATTGGTCGGGCGCTAGGCAACCAGATTTCCACCTATTGGCACAAAATTTTCCACCCCTGAATGCTTCTCCTTACCAAATCAGGCTCCATTACATAAAAATGATGATATTTAGAAGGAAAAATATAAATAGCTAATTTTGCAAGAAACTAAGGGTTCATTTGCTAGAGTGAAAATTTGACGTATACTAAATTACTTGCATGTAAAATAAGGCTTTTGTTCGTTGCTTTGAACAGTGAAGGCAAGTTTTCTTACCACATGTTTGTTTGAGGTAGTTGCAGCTGTTTGAAGAAGCAGCTGTGAAGCTGCTGCAAAAAAAAAC